CCAAGAAAAATGAAATAAAGGATGCTGTTGTTGCAAAGGGAGTAACTATGCTGACAAAAATGAGATCAGTACTGGAAGAGGTTGAGAAGTTATTATTGGTGTGGATAAATGAGAAACAATTAGCAGGAGATACTCTTATGACTTCGTTTATTTGTGAAAAGGCTAGGCAGTTGCATGAAGATTTGGTAAAGAAATTGCCTGCAAATAGTGGTGAAGTGAGTGAATTTAAGGCCAGCAAAGGCTGGTTTGAGAGATTTAAGAACCATACTGGCATACACAGTGTGGTAAGGCATGGTGAGGCTGCCAGTTCGGACCACAAGGTGGCTGAAAAATATGTGCATGAATTCCAAGAGTACATAGAGGCTGAAGGACTGTAACCTGAACAAGTGTTCAGTTGTGACGAAACAGGCCTCTTTTGGAAGAAAATGCCAAAGAGGACCTTCATTACACAAGAGGAAAAGGCAATGCCAGGACACAAGCCTATGAAAGACAGGCTGACGCTAATGTTCTGTGCTAATGCTAGTGGGGATTTCAAAGTGAAGCCATTACTAGTGTACCATTCTGAAAATCCCAGAGTGTTCAGGAAAAACAATGTTATGAAGAGTAAATTGTGTGTGTTTTGGAAATCTAATAGTAAGGCATGGATCACGAGGGAAATTTTCGTCGAGTGGTTCAATGGCCCTAGTGTGAAGGAGTATCTCCTGGAAAAGAAATTGGATCTCAAGTGCCTGCTAGTAATGGACAATTCACCTGCTCATCCTCCAAACTTGGATGACCTAATTTTCGAGGAGTTTGGGTTCATCACAGTAAAGTTCTTGCCCCCGAATACCACTCCTCTCCTCCAACCCATGGACCAGCAGGTTATTGCAAAAGCAATGTTTCACAGGTGCTTGACTGTGACCACAGACACTCACTTGACCCTAAGGGAATTTTGGAGAGAACACTTCAGCATCCTCCACTGCATAACCCTTATAGGTATGGCTTGGGAGGGAGTGACTACCAGGACTTTGAACTCTGCCTGGAGAAAATTGTGGCCAGATTGTGTCGACAAGAGGGATTTTGAAGAATTTGGGACTGACCCTAATGAGCCTATGTCTGTTGTAAAATCAATTGGTTGCACTGGGAAGTTCCATGGGGTTGGATGTGAGTTTGGAGGATGTGGAAGAATTGGTGGAAGACTACAATGAGCTCACCACTGAGGAGCTGCAAGAGCTTCAGCAGGAAGGTGTTAAGAGCAACACATCGCAGCTCAGAATCTTGCTGCAGAGGAGGAGGAAGAGAGATGGAAGAAGGTGCCTTCAGAAATTAAAGAGATTTTTACTATGTGGGGTAAGATGGAAAGCTTTATGGAGAAACATCACCCTAACAAGGTTGTTGCAAGCCAGGTTGGCAACATGTACAGTGACAAAGTCTTGGGCCATTTTAGGGAAGTGTTAAAGAGACGCCAGAAACAGAGCTCTCTCCACAGTTATTTTGTGAGACAGGACTCCAGTGACTCTAAAGGTGGTCCTAGTGGCATTAAGAAACAGAGAAGAGAAGCAACCCCAGAAAAGCAAATAGTACCTGAGGTGTTGCTGGAAGGGGATTCCCCTTCCAAACTATAAACAATCCACTCTCTCTCCTCCTCCAGTCTTCCATACACTAAGAAGAATCTCCAATAAAGGTAAGTATTATGCTGTTAATGTTTCATTCATCATTTCCCATTGTATTGTTTATGTACTACATGCATATTTCATGTTAAAAATTTTTTTTGTTTTTAATACTTCTGGGTGTCAGGAACGGATTAATTGTATTTGCATTATTTCTTATGGGGAAAATTGATTCGTAAATCGTAAATTTCGTTTATAGTAACGGCTCCAGGAACGGATTAATTACGAACAACGAGGGACCACTGTATAATATATATATATATATATATATATATAATATATATATATATATATATATATATAATAAATATATAGTAAGGAAAGTACAAAACAAGTGGTATTGAAACATTACCAAACTGCGACCAGCCGATATTAGATCCTGCGACACATTCTCCCGCCTCAAAAGACAGAATAACGTTCACATTGCCGTGTGTGTGTGTGTGTGTGTGTGTGTGTGTGTGTGTGTGTGTGTGTCGTGCTGAATATGTAAAATTGGTCAGTTAGCAAGAACTCGTTTAAAATTGTCCTTTCTAAAAATTTTCTCTTATACTTTAAAGATTTTTTTTCATTTATGTTAATGTAAAAATTAATATCTTAATCCTTAATCACCTTCGACTTTGTCACTATAGTGTTATCACGTCTGTTGTTACCATTCATTGCGTGTGCCTCCTCACTATCCGCTCCTGCATTATGTCAGCTAGAAAGCTACCAGTAAACCACCAGCCCACCACAACCACAACCATCACTGAACCCACAAATGTTTATCACTACAACACAGCACTCCGACAGTCACCACCACCATAGCAACTGCCCCCAAAATTATACCACCTATCCAACCAGCCCTTCACCACACCGCCGTCACCATCATCACTAGTATCATCACATCTATCACCACTTTCACAACCACAAACCTCTCCCCTTTTTTTCTGAAACTTCCACTCATCTGTTACGCAAATAACCAGCACGATAACCGGTTACTCCCCCCCCTCCTTCAAATATCCACCCACCATAGGCTCCCTCATCCATACACCCCTCACCAGTTCCCCTCATTAATAGTACCCCTCGCCCATACCCCATCAACACATTTCCTCTCTCATACCTCTTTCACCATCATTATCTGTAACGCCCCCTTCTCCGTCAAAACCTCTGACCTGTCGTTTCTCCCCCCACCCCTCCCACAACGCCGTAAATCCCCCCCGCCCTCCTGCTCAATCCCTCCTCGAACCCAAATCCCCTAACATCCCCCACAACCGTTTGCCCTGAGCTAATGTCCACATTTACCACCACCATTGTCCTGAGAGTGGACAGGACAAAACAAACCATCATATACAATGACAGCTGCCTTTCTGTGTCATGATTGACGTCTTTCGTGGCTTCGGGAAAAGTGGGCAATGGTGCGTGATCAACGTCTTGGGTGTTTTTCGTGCAGAAACACACACACACACACACAACACACACACACACACACACACACACACACACACACACACACACACACACACATACACGCACACGCACACACAATAATGGATGGCCTTAAGGCTCAACCAAGGGAGGAGTTTGGAGAGAAGTTCAATTTCCTTTGGACAGAAACTAGGGCGTTATGCAACAAATCAAAGGATGAGGTTGCATAACAGATAATTTAGGGCTAATACGACGCAGGAAAATATTTAAACGTATATTCAATAAAATTATAGTACCCATTACAAATTTAAACTCAAATAAGAAGTTTTAAAAATATCTAATTACGAAGCATGGGGGAAAGAGGAGACGATGATGATTGTTAGAATATAACAAAGGGGAGGGAGTAAGGGCACTCGGAAACAGTTTGAAGAAACGAGGAAATGGGAGATTGCTGATAATTAACCAGAATATGAAAATGTATTAAAACTGAGACAGGGAATACAAAGGAAGAGGGGAGCAAGACACGTGGTAAGGGGAGAAACACGTGGTAAGAGATGGAAAAACACGTTGTAAGAGGGGAAAGATTATTAAAATCGTAACTAAACGCTAAGCCCGTAAGAGTCATACAGCGCTGAAGAGGGATAGAGAAGTGCTAAAAGAAAAAGACACGTGGTAAGAGGGGGGGATTAATCATGAATGACAATATGTAATGATAATAATAATAATAAATGTACATTATTTAAATCTTATTAGCTAATTTGCAACAAAATTCAGATGCTAAACTAATCTTGGAAAAAAAAAGAAAAAGAGACGAGAGATAATGGAAGACTAAGAAGTGAATAATGATTACAGTGAATAATTGTGAAGCGAGGGGGGGGGGGTGAAACGGGAATATTGATAAACTATATAAGAACAGCAGAGAGAGATGAAGCGAGCAATAGTGAGCGAAATATGTAAACAAGGGGGGAACAAGAGAATGAAAGATGAATGGGGAAGCATTGATCAATCAGAGGATAAAGAAAGAAAAAGATTATTGTTATGCAGCTTTATCGGAAGTGTGCAGGTTTTCTGTTAGCGGTTCTGGTGATTATATTCCCCAGGGTCCTGTCTCGGACCAGACCTCCTAGTTTGGAAAGAAAATATTGCTGGATTAAGAATTATGAAGTGTATTAGGAAGTAGGGACGCTGTGAACATACTACGAGAACACTGTATCAACATACGTGGGCCCAGACTAACATCATAGCTGAAGATATCAGAAACACTGACGGAACAAGTGTAGAAGTCTTCACAAGCATGATGAATAACCACTTGGATTCCCACAGTTGCACAATCCAGGGCAACATTGGTTTAGAACAGGTCGGTCCTGCCTCTCGCAAGTAGTAAACACTATGATATTGTCTTGGATGTATTGGAGGACAAACAGAATGCAAATATAGTGTACACAGACTTTGCAAAAACTTTCGACAAGTGGTGGGTGACCCCCTGATTAGTTTTCAGGTAATCTTCAAGTATCAGCAAAATATTAAAGTCTGTTACACAAAATTAAAATAACCCACATCGGTTAAAAACCCAGGAAGTTTCCCCGAGGTCCCTACAGGCACCCTGGTAATTGTAGAAACCTTCACAGAAGGGACCAAAGCCGTAGGCAGTTAAAATGTCCTCCACAGTCAGCAGCACGCCACAAGCCACACAGGGGCACTAACAAGCAGGTAGGTGTAGGTGTAGGTTAGGTGTGCGCGCGAGATCTTAAATCAACTGATTATCACCTCAAAATTAAAATTCTTACTAGAGGAAGAGGAGGAGGGCCAAACACTCACGTTCTCTTGATCATTGTATAATTTGTTGGTTATCTGTAGGGTTCACCGGGTTAATTTCGAATACCAGGCCTCGTATAATACCAACTCTGATGTAATACCTGTACTAATATCAAATATGTTCGTTTCCAGCGTACTGTGACGACACTATGGAGATGGACCTGCGGGCACTATGTATGGGCATCACGGGCGACGCAATGCTCTATTCTATGTTCCGCCTCAGTGCTGAGCCTGTCACCTGCCCCTTCCACGGACCCCTCACCTTCACCTACTCTAAAGGCTACGGCGAGTGTGTCCAACCTGTCTCTCAGGTAAGTCTGTATACTCTCGCCTATGGGAATTAATCAGGTTTGATCCTGGAAAGGGGTTAGCTCAAGTTCCTTGAAACAAGAGCTCCTCATCAGCATCATGACACCCACTCTTGAAGGTTGTCTAGTATTTGTCGAGCTCCAGCTCTCGGGCCCCATTTTTCGATCGACAGTCGTCAGGAAATACAGTGATAGAGATGGATGGAAATGTAAAATAGATGCAGTGAAAAACAGGGATAACATCAAATAAAGTTAGAGATCAGTGTGTCAACTTCAGTGACCCAAGAGGGGTCACGTACTGAGGTGCTAAAAACAATAAATGTAGACCAACTGTAGAAGTTGAAGAGAAAAGTGGACCACTATCTCCACAAGTGCCAAATTAAGAGAGTTATGATGGGTATTTGGATCTGCAGACAGCTAGCACCAACAGCCTGGTGAACCAGACGGTCAACATGAAGCTTTATCCATGGGGAAGCATTTGACCTGTAAGACTCAAAGCGTAGAGTAACTCAATTTCCCCTGGATCAAGAGCCCTTCGTCGGCTTCAAGGCACCTTGAAAGGTGTGAAATCCGTAATTATTTTTTTTGTATCTCATCTTCAGACATAATCCTATTTTTTTTCATCCCCTGAAACAGATAATAACTTTTCCTTAAATTAGTAATGCAAAGGTTTAATTGTCACTCTTCAAATTGCTCTCCAGAAATCTTCTCATCCTTTCCCTTAAGGGCTTTTATGAAAAAGATAATTTTCTCGTGCGAGGACTCATTTTGATAAGCAGTTCCATCTTCTTTACATCACTGGTAGAATATATAGAGACGTATGCTAACAAGACACATGCGATTAATCGTATTTTAATGAGAAGATTTTTCATCCGACCAAGACTTTATTATCCCTTACCAAGCGACAAAATCCCTGGTGAAAGAAACCTCTTTCCAGTAAAATGTCATAAGCCTCATCTTTTCATTAAAGTTACCTGCGATGTACCACAAGCCACTGATGGAGAGGCAACTCTTGAGTACCGTCTCTGTAATCCACGTTCAAGATTTTCTTCTCTTGATTACTAAATAACAGTTGATGAAAGTCGAGTGTTTTCTTCTATTCACTTCAGTACGTTCTTTGACAGTTCTGGAGAAGATGCAGATTATTTATGTAAAATAAACTTAGGAACAATAAGCATTGATAAACGACTTTAAGGGTACGTGGGAGCTCAATCAGTGGTGAGCATAAAGTCGCAGCCCAAATTTCTTTTTTTTTAATTTAAACCAACATATTGTGCCAACACCGTGCACTGTGTAAGCATTTTAAAGGGAAAACAATTGCTATCTCCTGTTAAATACTTGCAACCTGTAGTGACTATGGCTGTGCAGCAACAGTCTGGTTGACCAGGCGAGCATAGCCCATGGCCGGGCTTCGAGAGTAGTAAGACTCTCGAAACTCATAAACAGTATATCAAAGACAAAGGTATGCGGGCAGGTAACCCAAACAGCCTGGTTGATTAGGCAGCCAACAAGGAAGCAGTGTCTGGGAGCGAGCTGTGAGGGTAGAACCCTAGAGACAAGTGACTGGTATGTCACAGGTAAATGCCAGATTAGCCAAGTTGTAAATAGCGTTTAATACTTAAATCTCACCCTCTTGCACATCATTAACATTAAATTAATTTTTAATGATCGTTGCCATTACTATTATATTTACAAACAAATGCTAAACCCAAATGGGTGATACAGCTATCAGCTTGAGGTGGGAGGCCTCAGAAAAGCAATGAGGATACCATCAAACATTCCATTATGGATTCAGTAGCTACGGCAGCTCTAAAGTTTTCGACCAGCAAATTACCGTCCAGCAGTGTCCAGAAGGTAAATGTCAGCTTCCGGGGAGAATCAGACAGCCGATTTTCAGTCTGTTCTGATTGTCTCCAAGAAGGACTGTTTGTAAACTATATTATTTATGCATTGAATAGCATACAAAAAGAAGGGAATGGACGAGTTGTGTATTTTTTTTTTTCGTTGTGTTCATTTGAATGTTAAGTTTGTTGCGTGTATTTTTAGAACATTGTGCTAGAGATTTGTGGAAAAGTGAGTTTTTTTTATTTAAATATTTGCTTTGCTAAATATTAAAAAAATATTTTCATTATTCATATATTTTAAATGCCAAAGTTGAAATTTATTCATGGGGCGCGCACACAGAAAAGAGAAGGTACCATAGCTACGATAAAGCTCTTGGAGCAGGGAGAGAGTGGACCTAGTAACGACCTGCGAAGAGGCGGGGGCCAGGAGCTACGACTTGATCCCTGCAACCACAGACAGGCGAGTACAAATAGGAGAGCACGCACACAGGCGCGCGCGTGCTAATGTTAATAAAAAATGGATCCCGAAGAACTAAGCTAACTTTGAAACAGAGATGTTTAAGAAGTCGACTGCTAAAACATCATGTGTAGTAGGAATAACTTGCAATAGTCAACCCTTCACAATACAGAATGAAACAGAGTGTAAGAGCAACAACATGGCGATAATACACATACTTTAAGCTAGAGCGAACATTATAATTGTCTGGAACGTACAGAGCAAAACGTATGGAAGCAATAATGAGGAAAAAAGAGAACGAGGAGGTAATGAACCTGTTAGAATTATGATTTGCTTGTGCTTATTAACCCAGGATTTATTATTTTTATTATCATTGTGATGCGCTAAACACACACACGCATCATTCAGCACACTTATTGGAGTCACAATACCTAGTTATAGTGGCATAGCTAGTAACTAGCCAAGCAGCGTTACTGGGTTAGATAAGGTTTGTCAGGAAACAGGACAAGTCCGACTCGCTATAACGTACGAACAGCTTTCAACGGCGGACCAACTCCTAAGTATCTATTGAGAATCATGAGCAGCGCATACAAGACTTACCCATACATACCATCAGGCTGCAGGATTGAACCTACATTCTTTCTGTTGTAATCCAAAAGCTACTATAGAGCTGCAGGTAACCTACTAGCCCATGTCTTCTCGTTGATTGAGGCTGACATTATGGACATTAAATATGGAGATTCACTAGGGGTGATCGACCATGCGGTACTCGGAGGGCTGAATACCTCGTTAAGTATGGTTGGAGAGATTTCTTACATTATCAGAATTAACAAATACGGCTGTGTTAATACCGATAGTGTGTGGGAACAAGACATACAATAATCAAGACATTTATTAAAGGAGACATTTCACCACTTGTAGCCTTATCAATTATAATAGAGAAAGTTGGAAAAAAAAAAGTATTTATGAGGGGGGGAGGGAGAGAGAGAGAGTCACTTGTTAGAAAAGAGTAGGCTTGGCCTTAAATTGAGAAGACTTTGCATTCCATGAGCCAATAGGCTTAGTCAGGTTATCCAAAGCCTTAGTCTCGTGTCTTTGATTTCAAGGACAAAATTACCAAGTATTGAATAACTGTCTACATATGTGGAAATAAGAGAAAATGTTAAAAAGATTCTGGGAGACTATATTGAATATAATTAAGTTGATGTATGGTGGCATAATATAGATGCATTGAACCTAGAGTGAACTATCGTCCATGGCTGAACAGTTTTTCAGTTCATCTATCTATCGTTGAAGACGGGTGGATTGACCAGCTATCGTGGAGCATGGATGGGTGGACCAGCTATCGTGGAGCATGGATGGATGGACCAACCATTGACCACCATCGACAGTCATCCATTTAAGAATCACCATTAAAGTATTCACTCAACCTAACAGTGATCCATCTGTCCATCCATCCACCACCATGAATAGTGTTCCGTCCAGCCCTTACTATCCATCTTTGACCTGCACCCTCGTTGCCCTGCCATCGCCCTGTCACCTCTTGCCCCAGTTAGTGGAAGAGATTGACAGTGTTGCAGCATGTCTGTCTATCGTCCCTTCCATTACGTTGATGATCTATCTGCTCCCTCCCAACAGGTCCCCGACACCTGCACCGAGCTCCCTTGTCAGCCATCTACGTGTAAATGTAGATGTGATTTAACAGGCTGTGACTGTTGGCCTCCCCCAACTGTTAAGGAATTTATAGATGTTGGGTTCTGTGATTGACGCAGGCATTCAAGTTCGAACCAAGGAAGAGAAGGACAAGTCCAGTTCATTGGATCAGAAGCATCAACACCTTCCCCCCGTCACCGGCATCAAGGCAGGAGAGTGTTAGGTAGACAGCAAGGGCGGCCATGCTTTGGCGAGACGGGATCAACATTAATTCCAATGGTCTCCTTATATGATCTCTGTCTCAGTCTCTCTCATAATATATATATATATATATATATATATATTATATATATATATATATATATATATATATATATATATATATATATATATATAATAATTGTCGTGCCGAATACGTAAAATTGGTCAATTAAAATTAAGTCCTTTCTAAAATTTTCTCTTATACTTTTAAAGATATATTTTTCATTTTATGTTAATATAAAATTTTATAATTTTGTACCAAAATAATTAGAAAACTTACCTAACTATCATAACATGCGCAGTTTAATTTAGCCTAATCTAACTAAATATATTTTAGATAAGTTTACAATTAATAATAAACAAACCCAATGAAATACATTTTTTTCATTAGGTACAGAATGAGCTTACGAAATTATTGCATACACAATTTTTCGCTTGCCTTACTCGGCAAGAAGAGCGTTGCTATTTAAGCCAAACTCGCAGTTTTTACACTGGACATGGAAGGCAGTTTTAAGGTGCTCATTCCCTCAGCCTTCATAGAATGTTATATCCAACAGGAACATTTGGTTATACAGTGATTTAATTTGTTCTGCAATCTACCAATAGATCGCGTTCAACATTTTGGCTGCCCCTTGTGTAGAGCCCATCGTCCACACTAGGGACTAAGAATATCGTATTCGCTGTCATAGGTATTAAATGAACATTGTGTGCACAAAAGTATACTAGTGTATATTCTTGATATGCTTATAATCTATTTCGAGAGTCTTCCCTACTCCATCAGGCTTGCC